CCGTTGGGTCATTTATTTCTTCCTGGACGCAACCATAATCAGCTAACACCGGGTACTTTATGCATTTTAGAGTTCGTAACCAAGGAATTTATCGCTTCTGGCGAGCAAACTGCTCATAAATGCCTATACGGGAATCTATCTTAAGGACTTGTTGAATACCTTCCATTAATAATATACACCCGGTACCACTTACTATAAGGAACCAGGTCAACAGGCGTAAAGAAATGTCCGACATTGCCATTCGTCCGGGGACCGAACCCTGGTCACTCAGTGTGCGAGCTGAGGTCACTACCAAGTGAGCCACGAGCACCCGTAGGGTTAGTGTTGGGAAGGACTGGGGTGAAGCGAGGATGGGGGGGTACTGGGAAGGAATGGGGTGAGGCGAGGGTGGTGGAGGGTTTTGGGAAGGTATGGGGGCGGGGTGGGTGTTAGTGTGGAATGAGGTGAAGGCGTGTTGGGCAAGTATAGAGACTGACGCTGAGCTTCTCTTAGTTTCCTGCATTTTGTGCCAACGTACAACGTCTATGATGTTGCGGTTTTTTTTTAGTGTAAAAATATGTCTGCAAACACAGTCGGAAGAATGTTTGCTTATAGCATTTCAATGATGACGTACAACACCTGAGTATCATCATGACGAGACATTTCGCCTGTGCAGCAAACTTTCTTGAATCTCGTGCAGAGGAGACTTTTATACTGGGGACAGCGGAAGAAGAGTGGTAATTTTACGGTGTTCAATCTCTTAGCCTTGACATGTCTTATTTATCAACGTGTTGGTATTGTATACCACAAATGTAATGATATAGAAATTTTTTTGAGCAATATATTAATTAATATGATCATGAAATGTAAATGTTAAAAAAAGAAGCCTAAGAAACTATACACCAATAAAAAACGAACTGTTAAGCAACTGCTTCATTTACGCTAAAAAAGAATAAGTGAATTCAGCCATATTAGCTGAATTAAGCATATGCCTCAACACAGAAAAATAAAAAAATAAGACAAGGGTGAATCAATGACTACACATTGAAACTCACTGTAATGTGACAAGACTAGAATATAACTTAAGCACCTTTACAAGAAAATGTAAAAAGCTGCTTATTTATAAAAAATATTCAGTGTGTTTACTTATTAGTATTTCCATATATAAGCAATCTCAAAGAAAAAAAAAATAATCATAAAGACTTTAATAATTAAAAACAACCAAGTAACTCATGAATTATTAAAGATTGATATTTCCCCCCAGACTTTTAAGTAATCGGCCATAGGGTTCTAGATGCAGACTTAATCTCCAGAGTGTAAGTTATTCTTTGACCATTCCCAGCTATACAGCCTATCTAAAAAGCAAATGAATGCAGTCTTATATCTAAAGCAACTTACATATACTAAATATAGCAATTTGCCAAATGTATCTTCGCTTATGATAACTTAAGTGTGCTTCGACGTCCCTCAAAATCAAATTTATGACATAATTATGTGACTTATTTCCACACAAACTAACCAACAGCATACTGCATTCACACAGCACACGTAAAATTAGTTCAGCCTCACCCTAACAAAAATATTGCAGTCCTACATAATTCCTTCTATCCTTTAATAAACTACACATAAATTAGAAACTTTCCTTGCTACAAAGAGTATTCAACAAATCTCTGAGAATATTAACTTCTCACAGACATACACATGTTACGAATAGAGAAGATAAGGGTGCTTTCTGTCAACAGTTTTAGAGGTCAGGTACCTGAAAATAGAAGCAGCAGCACTTGGCACTACTCGCGTGAATCAGTTCATAATTGATGTCCCCTTCGTTCCTCTAAGCCAAATGAGTTACTGTAATCTAACGTTAATAGTAAAATAAGATTAAACTAAAAGATACAGAGGACTATGTAACCTAAAAAAGGATAATAGTTACAATTTTTTCAGGGATCGAACCGAAGGGCAAGAAATTATATACAGGGCTGGAAAAGCAGCTGACTTCTAAATTATTGCCCCCCCCCCCTCCCCACTGCTCGATCCCCTTAAATCTGTTAAAAATATAGAGGGCAGTTTAATATCCTTAAGTAGAATGCAGCCCAACCATCTGCTCCAGTTGGCCACTATGATATATATTCCGATTATATATATATATATATATATATATATATATATATATATATATATATATATATATATATATATAATTTGCTGCATTCGTAGCCAAAACAATGAAGCATTGATTTTTGTTTAATACCTCAGTTCCGAGTTCCACAACAGACTACCGACGTAAGAGGATTCGTGGAGTTCGAGTCGCATTGAAGAGCAGCACGTTGTAGCTGTATACTTTTTGCATAAGAAACTCAGCAGCACACTATTCGTCTACTCTGTTTCACAGGGTTGGATTCACCAAAACATACTTGAACAGGCACTTGCAAGATGTGACTTTACCATAAATCGCTTTCCCATAAATATGTGAACATACAGTATAACGTAATAATAGAATCGTTGATATATATAACATAATCAGACTAAGAGTTAAGCCCGGAAGGGCATACTGGAATGGTGGGAACCCCTTACAAATTTAACTTTAGTTCTTCCTTCCCTCACCCATAACAAAAACAACAATGTGACTGATGTTTACCATACATAAAACATTAAGCTGGTAACGGGGTACAGGTGCATTTTCAACTTAAGGTATATCCGCCAAAACAAGTACATACTCTAAGAGCCTAATATCTATTTGGTTTGTAATATTCTTAACGTTAGTGTATTGAGATTTTGTATGTAACGTCACGGGTTACTTGTCGAGCTTATTGAGCGTGAAGTCGCTTTGACAACCAGGTAGGTTACATGTACCAACACGTACGTGAGGTTTCTCTCGCTTATGAAGCCTCTTACGATAGATGTTACTTGTGCTATTGGATGTAGTAATCGTTAAATCTAACAATAATAATTATTTGATGGCGAAGGGGTCTTGAAAAAAGGATCTGGAGTTACCCTCCCTTTCCTGGGGTCAAATCTGATTAACTCCCATGCCCCACGCGCTGTAAAACCCCAATGGGTTAAGAACTTCCCCATTAATAATAATAATTTAATACTACAGCCGTCTGTATAGTGAACACTAATTTTTAGATATTTCAATTATTGCTAGTGATTATGCTGCTATGCATTTAAAGCATCAGTTAGTTATAAGTGAAGCTTAAACGTGGGTGACGTATAGGGACTCAAACATTTACATATGTTGGCAAATGTATGGAAAATTATTTACAGGATATAACGGTAGACATCAGACATGATAAATAGTTAACATTATGAGATAAGAGCGGAGCACCAACAAGTGTTGAAGAACAAAAGACGTATACGAGCGAACCTTTCATCAAACAAGTCTCATGTACAAGCGGTTTTAATAAGTACTTAATAAAGCCTCTTGCTGATGAGTCTTGTTCAATAAAATGTTTGCTGTTTTATTTCTACCAGCCCCGGTATCTACGACTGTACCAGACTTATTAACTAGTACCAAAGGGCATACTATTGTTTATCAATGCTTGTGCAGGCTTTCACATCCTTTCAGAAGTAGAGAGAGATAGCGCTACCACGTAATGATATAAATCATGTGTATCGAATAACATGTCACAAGGTTAGAAGAATCAAGTCCAATATTTGGCGTATAAAAGCCACGTAGAAGCAAAGAAAGAAGCCTTGTCGGTAAAGATTACTATGTTCACATCTCGGGACAGAGACAACTCAGGATGCAGACGGGGACACCACTCAGAATTTATTTTAATAAAAATGGTCCCAGAAATGTCACTGGAAATTTAAAATTGGTCCATTTATACTGACGGGAATTATATGAACGTGTGACTGATATTTACTGTGGTAAACTACTTATATACGGGAACACTAACCCAACGAATAAAATTATTATTATAATCCAAAAAGAAGCGCTAAGCCACAAGGGCTATACAGCCCAACGAATAAAAAATAAATTGTCCATAGTTTAAAAAAAAATGCTGAAACAGGATTACTGTTCTATGTTGTGCAAGCAAAGTGAACTGCAGATACGTGGCATTATTGTCTATATGATTTGCAAGGCCACGAAAGATAACAAAAGCAAGGGCATACGGTCAAGGTTACCACTGGTTAAACTGTTATTATAAGCTGCTGGTTAAAAATAATATTGAGCAAATAATGAAACAATTACATTTGTTGGCTATAATGACGATGGTGTTGGTTATATTGTTATAATGTTCTCTACACATGTGCTGTTATGTATGATAATCTATATAACTGTATTTGTGTATACCTGAATAAACATACTAACAAAGAACTAGCAGTAACTGTCCAAGAAACAAAAGGTAGCACAAATAAAGATAAATAAAGATTTGTAATGATTTGTGGTAGTGACATTACAATCGCGGACATTTGTGTATTAATATTACTAACGGTGACACAGGTGTAGCCTGGTATAGCAAGGTAGTGGCAGAGTAAGAAGCTAGACAGATTAAGGAAGTAGAGCATAACATTAGCCAGATAAGACAGGAGACGTGCGGGTCGTTGGCACCACGTGTGATGGAGTCAGGAACGCAGTTATCCGGACGAGTGGCTGCAAAAAAATACAGCCTCCACCATCACTCATCAGGCATCTCGCCAAATCATCACTATTTACTGAATAATGATTTCACCCCGAGGGGCATGGCGTGGGTTCAGCCACTGAATACAGAAAATTCCGCCGAGGGTTGCGTATGTGTTCAGTTTATCAACTTTGGTTCCCGGAAAACAGCTGATCGTGCGGCAGACCGGGACTCAGAATATCTAGGAAGTGGTGCTTGCTAGCTTCAGTACTGCCTAACATGCTTTCTAGCAGCTCTTGTAAGCTTTGAAGCCTACTTCTAGCAACAATCCTCCCCCTAGACTTTACAACTGTGCCTTTAAACGTATAATAAATCCCAATGTAACTGGCGTCACTTCTCGTCTCGTCGGGCATTAACGCAGCTCTTCGCCTCAGTAACGCGGCAACTAGCGAACTGACTCATCCCAAACGGCAGCCAGGGATCAAGGACGAGGTAGTGTGTCACCTGCTGGTCATGTCATGCTTGCACTGACCTCAGGTGGGCTGTAAAATCTGAATGCCCCGCGATCAACTTACCTTGAGTGCCGTGTGCAACGTTGGGATCCAATATGGCGGTGTGTGTGGGGGCGTGCGCACTCCTGGCTCACCCCTCTCACCCTGTATCCCAGCCTCCTGATAACACCCTGATAACTTATCACCCTTAATATATCACTCTTTGAGTAGTGATTTACCTTTTATCATAGGCTTTTCTTAATTAACAATTGTATCGGTTTTTATATGCGAATATTAAGCTGGGTTCTGCTGGCAAGAGGCAATGAAGGAAAATGCGAGCGGAGGATTGGGAGTAAAGGGGATTAAGGAGCATTGTAAGTGGTGTTGAAGGCTGTGAGTGGGTTCCAGTCACCTTCCAGACACCATGACACTTTCACCTTCCTGACGTCTATGATCATCTGGAAAGTATAAACCTATAGTGTGTGTTGTAAACATGGAGAGGAGGAGACAGGGGAACGGCACTACCTTAGATGGCTATTCTGAGGCTGCAAATATCGTGGATTCTGATGGAATTCTTGATGACAAGCTCTTGGAATCCGTAGCCCCAAGAATTTCACTCATAGATGATGTGATGGTTGAAGATGTGAAGCAAACGTTCTGTACTCGGTGTAGGACCATCTCTACCAGCTTCTTGTCCACCTCCTATGTGACCAGTGACACCATTAGTATTGGTAGCAACGGCAGGTGTAACTCAGGGGACTCTAATACCAGGTTTTATGTGGGAGATCCAGAGTCAATCCAGCGTGATGCACAAAGTGACAGTGATGATGTACCTCTTCTTCGTGTGAGTTGCCCTACGGGTTTAGCACTTTCCCCTTGATTATAATAATAATAAATTCGTGTGAGTTGTGCAGTTTCTATTTTATTTTTTTATTATTCCTCACCTAAATGTTAATTTCTATTTAAAAAAGGAAAAAGAGTAGAGCCTAAGATGTAAAATTAAAATTGACCCAAAAAATAATACGGAATATCATAGAGTAGATTAGGATATATGCACAATTTGAGAGTTAATATTGTAATAGGTATTCAGTAATCAACTATGCTTCTCCCCTCAAGGAAGGTTCCTTGATGTTGGTGAGGGGCTCTTGATTTAGGGAAATGGATCTGTGCTCCAGTTCCCCGAATTAAGCCTGAATGTCTTCCACATCCCCCCCAGGTGCTGTATAATCCTCCGGGTTTAGCGCTTCCCCCTTGATTATAACAATAACGCGCTTCAGTGACCATACTAGTTGTACTACCCTTTAAGAGGCTTGCCTTGATGCCAGTCATAGGATCTTGTTCTGAGGAATTTGAGTTTAAGAGCTGCTGCTTCTTATGACACTCACTCTGTTCCAAATTGTTTTTAACCAATCTACTCGTTCTGTGACACTTTCTTCGTTTAGTACTTCATTATGAGTGTAATAATAATAAATACATAACTTATCTCTAAAACAAGAAATTTGTCTTATCTTCATTGGTGTGTAAATTTTTTTTATTACTTATCTGGAATTAATGACAGCTGTATGGAAATTCCATGGTCGGTTGTGTGGTATTTTTTAGATAGCCATTAATGTTTATTTAACAGTATTTCAGGCAGTAATACCTACTGCAATCTTTGCATAGTATTCTGTACTCATTGTATATTGAGAGCATATGAGTTACATTGCTTTTGTAATATAAATTAAACTACTGTAGAGTTTAATAAACATTCAATATAATAGTCCTCTATATAATATACTTCAAATACAGAATGAAATCCACTGGGTCAGTTGATTTGGAAACTGAAGTCAGTTCATTACAGAATTGGCTGTTAGTGTTACTGTTACGACAAAATAATCTTTTCTTTATTCATCAATGTTGCCTTTACCAGCCACCAGATTCCTCATATTACTTCATTAAATTGAGATTTATTTCTTAAATGTATTTAGAAACTTTTGTTTGTATATTGCAAAACTGTATGACTTGCATTTTCTCTGCATATAGACTCAGATGCTTTATCCATAGTAAAATATAACAGTTAGCTATCCCGTGGCTCAGTTGGCAATGCACTCGCCTTACACACTGAGTGTCTGTGGGTCATGTGGTATGGGTGGAAACGTTGTTGTTGCTGTGGTTTATAGGGCCACAGATAGCATACACCATATTGAGCTCGGTCTTCCAGTGCTTGGAAAAGGAACCTTGACCAAAGTGGAAGTATGTTTGACTAATAACTGCATATTATGGTGGAAACGTTGGACATGTTTCCTTACACCTGCTGTCCCTGTTCACCTAGCAGTTAGTAGGTACCAGGGTGTTAGTCTACTGGTGTGGGCCACATCCTGGGGGACAAGATTAAAGGACCCCAGTGGAAATAAGACACAGTCCTCAATGATACATACTTCCTTGGGTTATCCTGGGTAGCTAGCCTTTCCCCTGGGTTAAAAATCCAAACAAAATCTTCTCTTATCTTAATTGTTCTTGGATAATTTCAGAATACTGTAATTTTTTAAAAATTTGTCAAATTATCGTAATAATGCATTTTTCAAGATTAATTATAATTCTAACGCAATCTGTAATTTTCTGCCATCTATTTCATTTTTATTCCATGAAATTTGAATGCACAGTATTTTTAGAAAAAAATATTTTCAGGCAATATACTCCTGAAACATATTTCCTTCTAATTTCCAGTATGGTTCACAGTTCTCATGAGTGCCATGGTTAATGTGCTGCAATGAGGGAGAGATGTAGAAGAAGTCATAAAAGTTTAGCCAGAAGTTTAACCACTAGATGTATCTGACAGGTAGAATTCTTGTTGAGTGCAAAGTATTGCAACTGTTAAATTCATTGTATAGAGCCAGGAAGTTAAAACTGGATTGCATTGCATTCTCATTACACTTCAGCAGATTTATCAGTATTGTGGAAGTTTTTATTTTTTCCTTTAAAATTTTGCTTATGCATCTACAAAGGATTTGCTGTACATGAACATGATGGTGAGGTAGTTTAGAAATTTGAAGAGAATGGAGTGGATAGAATGACTAGGAGAGTGTACAAATGTGGTTGAGGGAAGGAGGGTTAAGGGTTGTCCTTGGAATGGTTGGAGGGAAGGAGTAAGGAGTTTTTCAGTGCTAGAGCTTGAGCATCCTGTAGATTTGTGTGAGGGTGAGATCATAGTGAGTGGAGACAAGTGGTTAATAGAGCTTTACATGCTGTTGGAGTTTGAACAAGGTAACATTTATAAAGGTACTTAAAAAGTTAACCAGACTCAATTCAGGGTGGTGCATGCATTCTAAAGGAGGGATGGGAATGTTACTGTTCGGAGGTTTATTTGAATTGTGACTTCTATGTGCTTCTGGCAAGACAGCTATTGAATGAATGGTGGTGAATGTTTTCCTTTTTATGGATCCTCCTATGTTTGTGGAAGGTGGGGGACAAAAAAAAGTTAAAACTCCAAATATGGGTCAGAAATATACAGTTTTTGTGTAACTCTGTGTGGTGTTGGATGTATAGCATGTGATATATGGGTATACTTAAAGGTGTTACTGTGCACAAACAGTCTTGCTTCATGTATCGAAACACTGCTGTAGACTTTGTAGGTGCTAGCTAATTATTTACAGCAAAATACTATACCAAATTCATGGGCTAGTAAGCCATAGCTAGATCTTACTACACTTTTCCCTACCTCTTCCCTTCTGAGCACTACACTAATTTTTCATTGTAAGTAGTGCACAGTATTAACACCCAAAGTAATGGAATTTACTTGTATAGATTACTGAATTGATTATGCAGGTTTGCATTCTTTTCTCATTAATATTTTTGTATCCTTACAGGATGGAGATGAAGCTGAAGGAGGGCATCGACGTCCACCATCTTCAAGCATTAGCTCCGACCATTGTCATACTCCACGATTTAGTTCCCGAGCATCGAGGCAAGCCATGATCAAGCTCTTTGTGGCATGTGGCCTCACAACACTCTTTATGGTATGATTTGCATATCTGTATTTGTCTTGGGAATTTAATCTTGGTAGTAGATTAGTGGCTAGCAGCCATCCAAGAAGGTATTACTGCCTATCATATAAGTGTAAAAAGGAATCATGTTAAATGTTTAGCACTCTTGTCAGGATTGCTGGTGTTTCCTTTGTGTCTCATGAACATATAAGTTGAAATGTGAATCTTACAAATTTCTTACATTCAGTATCTACTTCTGTTTTGCTGTTTAGTTCTTATTCTTGCAGTGTTAACTTTACAGTTTAGAAGGCCTGGTCTGGAACTGGGCCATGATGTTGACAATTCTTGGAACTTTTAGAAGATGTATTAACATGTAACATATACATATTTAGTTACACATTTTGTTACATAGTATTAGATATATTTAGATATATATTTATATATACAGTGGTCCCTCATTTATCATCGTTAATCCATTCCTGGAAGTGCGACGATTATCGAAATAGGCGATTTTCGAATCTAATTTTCCCCATAAGAAATAATGTAAATACAATTAATCCATTCCTGACACCCAGAAGTATTAAAAACAAAAATTTTTTTACATGAAATATAGATGTAGTACATAAACAATACAGTGGGACATGATGAATGAAACATTAACAGCATAACACTTACCTTTATTGGCAATTCTTCTTAGTGTATGGAAGACTGGAGGAGGAGAGAGATTGGATTAGTTACTGTTTGGAAGGGGAATCCCCTTCCATCAACATATCAGGTACCAAGTGCTTTTCTGGGGTTACTTCTCTTCTCTGTTTCTTAATGCCACTAGGACCAGCTTGAGAGTCACTGGAGTCCTGTCTCACAAAAAAAGTGTCCAGAGAGCTCTGTTTCTGGCGTCTCCTTAAAACTTCCCTAAAATGGGCCAAGACTCTGTCACTGTATAAGTTGCTGATATGGCTTGCAACATCCTTCTCAGGGTGATGTTTTTTCCTAAATCTTTCCATCCTACCCCACATTTCACCATGACTTATCACACTGTGTATGCCACTACGCTTCTTAACCCTTTCAGGGTCCAAGGCCAAAATCTGAAGTGGTGCCCCAGTGTCCAAGAATTTTCAAGAAAATTTTTTTTTATTTTTTCTCATGAAATGGTAGAGAATCTTTTTGTGAATGTAATAAAACAAAAAGTACGAAATTTGATGGAAAATTGGCGAAATTATGCTCTCGTGAATTTTGATGTGTCAGCGATATTTACGAATCGGCGATTTTGCCGACTTTGACTCCCATTTTAGGTCAATTACATTATTCCAGTCGACCAAATTCTTAGCTATTTCACTAGTATTACTTCTGTTCTATCGATTGAGCACAAGAAATCGCCAAGTCAACTGTTTCAATTACAAAATAAAGTGACCGGAAATTGGTGATTTGGCCAATTTAACACAAAGTTCAAAATATTCCAATTTCAAAATAGGGTCCAGAATAAACAATGTAGGTATTCCTGGCACTAAACTACCATTTCCTCTGTTTATTAGTTATGTTTTGAAGCTTTACAAATAAATTCCATTTTGATTTTTTATTCACATAATGAATTTTTATTCACACCAAAAAATAGAAGATTTACTGTTATGCAATATTGTAATAATTGTATAAATATCATCACTACATTTGTGAATGTATATTAGACCCACCAGCTGGTGTGTATTAGACGTGTGAGGTCGTTTGTTTACTCTTGAACATCGGCAAAAATTTAACATTTCCGCCACTTTGAGCTCAGTTTCAAGTCATTTCCAGTGCTAAAACCAATCAAAATTATCTCTATTTCTGTAATATTTCTTCCATTCTATCAAATGAGACCAAGAAATCACAAATACAACTATAAAAAACATACGAAAAAACACTGCAAAGTCGCTGTTTTAATAAAAAATCACAGTTTTTTTCTCTCATTATACACAGTGTGCTGCAGTATTTGTTTTATGTGGTGCACACATACCACATAGTTGTATTCTCTCATATCTAGGCCCAAATTTACCACTCACAGTTTATCAGAGTGAGCTGAGCTCATGACGTAGATCTATGGTTTGGACCCTGAACGTAAAGCCGTAGATCTACGGGACGGACCCTGAAAGGGTTAAATCTCTCACACCAACCTTTGCTGGCCTTAAATTCACAATTATCAGTACTCGTTGCAATCAATTTCTATACCAGATCGTCATGCAACTGCTTAGCCTTTTCACAAATAATCTCCTGCTAATTGTTTATCGTTTATCCACACCAATAATAACTTCTCAACCTCTTCGAGTACTGGTGATCTCATTTTTGTCAGCATATTTACCCCCTTTGCAACAACAGCTTCCTTGATTTCCTTTTTCTTGGCCACGATGGAAGATATGGTTGTATGGGATTTGTTATACATCCTGGCCAGTTCGGCCACATGTACGCCACTTTCATATTGTTCAATGATGTTTTTCTTAAATTCAATCGTATTTCTCACCTTCTTTACCAAAGGCTTGGCACTAGGAGCTTTCTTTGGAGCCATGGTAGCTTATTTAGCACTTGCAAGCACTAAAATGAATGGAATATGAAATATTTCGTATGAACAAGTGAGGGGACCATCGCTCACTGGTAAACAATGGCACACTGGCTGGGAAGGGAGGGTGAGGCGGCTCAGAGCGTGAGTACGCGTCCCGGATGAAGGATGATTAGCAAGTCAACTGACCATTTGCGAGCCAATGTTTGGACGAAAATAACGCGACTATTTCCGAAAAGGACGATTATTGAGGGACCACTGTATCGACTAAAATGCCAGGAGCAAGGGGCTAGTTACCCCTCCTGTATACATTACTAAATTTGAAAAGAGAAACTTACGTTTTCCTTTTTAGGTCACCCTGCCTCGGTGGGATATGTACAGTGGAACCTCAGTACTTGAACAGCTCCCTACTCGAACAATTTGGTATTTGAATGCTTTGTTTGGTAAAAAAAATCACTCGGTAGTCAATCGTTTCCTCAGCACTTGACCAAACAAACACGACCTGCCAGAACTTTGCTGTAAACTATTTTGTGTTTCTTCACATTTTTTTGGTGTTTTTTTTATATTTGTATAAATAAGTTGTTTAATATATTTATAGATGGGGTTGTAAAAGAAGTAAATGCTAGGGTGTTCGGGAGAGGGGTGGGATTAAATTATGGGGAATCAAATTCAAAATGGGAATTGACACAGTTACTTTTTGCTGATGGTACTGTGCTTATGGGAGATTCTAAAGAAAAATTGCAAAGGTTAGTGGATGAGTTTGAGAATGTGTGTAAAGGTAGAAAGTTGAAAGTGAACATAGAAAAGAGTAAGGTGATGAGGGTATCAAATGATTTAGATAAAGAAAAATTGGATATCAAATTGGGGAGGAGGAGTATGGAAGAAGTGAATGTTTTCAGATACTTGGGAGTTGACATGTCGGCGGATGGATTTATGAAGGATGAGGTTAATCATAGAATTGATGAGGGAAAAAAGGTGAGTGGTGCGTTGAGGTATATGTGGAGTCAAAAAACGTTATCTATGGAGGCAAAGAAGGGAATGTATGAAAGTATAGTAGTACCAACACTCTTATATGGATGTGAAGCTTGGGTGGTAAATGCAGCAGCGAGGAGACGGTTGGAGGCAGTGGAGATGTCCTGTCTAAGGGCAATGTGTGGTGTAAATATTATGCAGAAAATTCGGAGTGTGGAAATTAGGAGAAGGTGTGGAGTTAATAAAAGCATTAGTCAGAGGGCAGAAGAGGGGTTGTTGAGGTGGTTTGGTCATTTAGAGAGAATGGATCAAAGTAGAATGACATGGAAAGCATATAAATCTATAGGGGAAGGAAAGAGGGGTAGGGGTCGTCCTCGAAAGGGTTGGAAAGAGGGGGTAAAGGAGGTTTTGTGGGCGAGGGGCTTGGACTTCCAGCAAGCGTGCATGAGCGTGTTAGATAGGAGTGAATGGAGACGAATGATACTTGGGACCTGACGATCTGTTGGAGTGTGAGCAGGGTAATATTTAGTGAAGGGATTCAGGGAAACCGGTTATTTTCATATAGTTGGACTTGAGTCCTGGAAATGGGAAGTACAATGCCTGCACTTTAAAGGAGTGGTTTGGAATATTGGCAGTTTGGAGGGATATGTTGTGTATCTTTATACGTATATGCTTCTAAACTGTTGTATTCTGGGCACCTCTGCAAAAGCAGTGATAATGTGTGAGTGTGGTGAAAGTGTTGAATGATGATGAAAGTATTTTCTTTTTGGGGATTTTCTTTCTTTTTTGGGTCACCCTGCCTCGGTGGGAGACGACCGACTTGTTGAAAAAAAAAAAAAAAAAGTCACCATGGGGCCTATGAAGATTAGTGATAACAGCCAACCAAAAAGAAAATTGGCTGGGAAAAATTTGTTTGGTACTCCATCAGATCGGCACTTGAGCAGCCTTCTGGATTGAATTATGTTCGAGTACCGAGGTTCCACTGTATTTAGATACATGTTCTCCTTCACTTGGGAGAAGTGAGGATGTTGCAGGTTGGAGGGCCATCTGAGTAGTGATGTCAGCATCCTTTTGATAAGACAGCAATTGAATGAATGATAGTGAGTGCGTTTCCTCATTTTAGTCATCCTACCGCACTGGGAGACAGTTGGTTTGTTAGAAAGAATGTTAATATTTGACATTTTAAATGCTATCAATGTACTACCTACTTTATTATTGTAATTTGTTTACATTTATTATTACGTAAAATAGGAGAAAAAAAAAATTGGTTTGGACATGCTAAAAGTTAACTCGAGTAGAGTAGTTAAAAGTTGCGCATGGAGGTAAAGGGTCAAGTAATGCTAAGTTATACAGCAGCGAGGACAAGAGGCTGTATGGGAAAAAGAAAAGGCTTGAGAGGCAAGTATTAATAAAATTTCCATGTGGTTTTTCTGTTGTATTGTGGAGTAAATGGCACATCACAAGTGTAGATTCAGTTGATAAACAGATGGCATCCAACCATGGTACTTTGTTGCACTACTTTACTCACACCTAACTCACGAATTGGAGGGAATGATAGGTAGGAGTCATCTCAGGAAGGGTTGGAGGGAGGTTTTGAATGTAGATGCATGCCATTCGGCATGTGTATAAGCATGTTAGATCAAAGTGGAGACCAGTGGAGTGAAAGCAAAGCAACATTTATTCCAGGTTTTTGAGAAATCCATAATTCACTGTGGACCTAGTTTGTCTTAGATTCTTTTCAAATGTGTGAGGAGGTTTTTGGAGACCCAAACAGTTGAGCAGAGGCCAAAAATGTCAGCAGATGGTGTATTTAAAGGTATAAAAAAATTTGTACTAGTACATTAAACACAATTTTAGGGTTAAAGAAAGTCAAAAGAGGAAGTGTTATATATTCCTTTGAGAGACTGCAGTACATATATTATTAATGGCTTTACATTGTTACACTATTGAATATGTTCTTAAATAGTCATTTGTTATTGTGGTCATATTGGCATAACATTAATAGAGTTAAGTTGAAAATGTTATTCGTATTTTGCACCAACAGATTGCAGAATGTATAGGAGGATACCTGGCAAACAGTATTGCTATTATGTCTGATGCTGCTCACTTACTCAGCGATCTGACATCTTTCATTGTATCCTTAGTAGCAATATACCTTGCCATGCAACCTGCTTCAAAGAAAATGAACTATGGATACCACAGAGCAGGTTAGTTGGGATTTACTTTTTATTTATATATTCTAAGTAGAGCTATTTTAATGTTTATATGAATACTGTGCTGCCAAGACTTCAACAACAACAGTGTCATAATTTTAACACACAGACCAGCTCGCTTACCTTTTTTGTCTGTTCTTCAGGTTGTACCTAGATGGATTGTACTCGGTTATTCAATTTTGCTTTCAGTATTTTCATAACATTTTGTACCAATTTCATAATAGTTCAGTGTACTTTGTGTAAGTACTCTCTGCTGTTTACATTGCTGCAGCTTTCACAATTATAAAACTTGTTCTTCTTAAAACAAACACTTTTCTTTATTATGTATTTCTACAGGCAAGCAAAGAAAAGGCAAATATGTGATAGCATGCATGGATTTTGTTTCAAATGTACTTTAATAAATCTGACATAACAGGAAAATTTTAATGCCCCCCTCAAAAAAAAAAAAAAAAAAAAAAAAGCCTGTGGTGTTTAACTTCAAAATAAATTATTTAACTTACAATAAGGATTTATTCTATCGATTAAATCTACGTATCTCCAAGTTTAAAAAAATAATAATATTTGATAATAGAAAGTAACCTTTCACTAGCCTGAATGATTCTAGGAATTTAATACTTTAATACAAATTCATGGAATCATCAGTAACAAATTTTAACTACACTTACAGTGTTATACTATTTTTAGAAGGGTGTGTAGGTAACAATGCAGTAATAGATTTATCTGATAGTACACATACTTCTCCATATTTATTTTCCAGAGGTGTTGGGAGCAGTAGTGAGTGTTCTCATCATCTGGGTAATCACTGGCATCCTGGTTTATGCTGCAATTCAGAGAGTCATCTCCATGGAATTTGAGGTGGAAGCAGATACTATGATTATTGTATCTGCTCTAGGTGTTGTTATTAATATCATGTAAGTTTTAATTTTTTTTTTTTTTGATTTTTAACACGTTTTGCTTTAGTTTGACATCACATTTTTATTTCACATCATTATTCATAGTAGAGTACTATTTTTTTTTTTTCAACAAGTCGGCCGTCTCCCACCGAGGCAGGGTGACCCAAAAAGAAAGAAAATCCCCCAAAAGAAAATTCTTTCATCATCATTCAACACTTTCACCTCACTCACACATAATCACTGTTTTTGTAGAGATGCCCAGAATACAACAGCTAAGAAGCATATACATATAAAGATACACAACATATCCCTCCAAACTACCAATATCCCGAACCCCTCCTTTAGAGTGCAGGCATTGTACATCCCATTTCCAGGACTCTAGTCCAGCTATATAAAAATAACTGGTTTCCCTGAATCCCTTCACTAAATATTACCCTACTCACACTCCAACAGCTCATCAGGTCCCAAATACCTTTCGTCTCCATTCACTCCTATCGTACACGCTCATGCACGCTTCCTGGAAGTCCAAGCCCCTCGCCCACAAAACCTCCTTTACCCCTTCCTTCCAACCTTTTCAAGGATGACCCCTACCCCGCTATCCTTCCCCTACAGATTGATACGCTTTCCATGTCATTCTACTTTCATCCATTCTCTCTAAATGACCAAACCACCTCAACAACCCCTCTTCAGCCCTCTGACTAATACTTTTATTAACTCCACACCTTCTCCTAATTTTCACATTCCGAATTTTCTGCATAATATTTACACCACACATTGCCCTTAGACAGGACATCTCCACTGCCTCCAACCTACTCCTCGCTGCAGCATTTACAACCCAAGTTCACACCTATATAAGATTGTTGGTACTGCTATACTTTCATACATTCCCTTCTTTGCCTCCATAGATAACATTTTTTTTTTTTTCTCCACATATACCTCAGTCTTAGGTAGTAGGTTGGTAAACAGCAACACCCGGGGAGGTACTACCGTCCTGCCAAGTGAGTGTACAACAAAAGCCTGTATAATTATTTTACATGATGGTAGGATTGCTGGTGTCTTTTGTGTGTCTCATAAACATGCAAGATTTCAGGTACGTCTTCCTGCTTCTACTTGCACTTAGGTCACACTACACATACATATACAAGCATGTGTATACACACACCCCTCTGGGTTTTCTTCTATTTTCTTTCTAGTTCTTGTTCTTGTTTATTTCCTCTTACCTCCATGGGAAAGTGGAACAGAATTCTCGCTCTGTAAGCCATGCGTGTTGTAAGAGGCGACTAAAATGCCGGGAGCAAGGGGCTAGTAACCCCTTCTCCTGTATGTATTACTAAATGTAAAAGGAGAAACTTTCATTTTTCATTTTGGGTCACCCTGCCTCTGTGGGATACAGCCGGTGTGTTGAAAGAAGAAGAAAGATATACCTCAACGCACCACTCGCCTTTTTTCCCTCATCAATTCTATGATTAACCTCATCCTTCATAAATCCGTCCGCCAACACGTCAGCTCCCAAATACAGTGGACCCCCGGTTTCCGATATTATTTCATTCCAGAAGTATGTTCAGGTGCCAGTACTGACCGAATTTGTTCCCATAAGGAATATTGTGAATTAGATTAGTCCATTTCAGACCCCCAAACGTACACATACAAACGCACTTGCATAAATACACTTACATAATTGGTCGCATTGGGAGCTGTTCGTATACCAGGGGTCCACTGTATCTGAAAACATTCACTTCTTCCATACTCCTTCCTAATTTGATATCCAATTTTTCTTTATCTAAATCATTTGATAGCCTCATCACCTTACTCTTTTCTATGTTCACTTTCAACTTTCTACCTTTACACACACACTCCCAAACTCGTCCACTAACCTTTGCAATTTTTCTTTAGAATCTCCCATAAGCACAGTATCATCAGCAAAAAGTAACTGTGTCAATTCCCATTTTGTATTTGATTCCTCGTAATTTAATCCCACCCCTCTCCCGAACTCCCTAGCATTTACTTCTTTTACAACCCCATCTATAAATTTATTAAACAGCCATGGTGACATTACACATCCCTGTCTAAGATCTACTTTTACCTCTGTAAGCCATGTGTGTTGTAAGAGGCAGCTAAAATGCTGCGAGCAAGGGGTGAGTAACCCCCTTCTCCTATATACATTACTAAATTTAAAAAGAGAAACTTTCATTTTTTTTTTTAGGTAACCCTTCCTCGGTGGGATATGGCCAGTTCGATGAAGAAAAAAAAAGGGGGGGAAATTTAGATATTTGGGAGTGGATATGGCAGATGGGTTTGTGAAAGTGAATCATAGAATAGATGAAGGGAAAAAGGTGGGTGAAGTGTTGAAGCATGTGGAAACAGGTTTATAGAGATGAAAAGGGAATGTACTTGAGTGTATAGTGGTACAGGTCAGCCATCACTAATCCGGCAGTCAGTTATCTGGTTTCGTCAGTAATCTGGCACTGATTTCAGCTAGCATAATTTCAAATTTCATTATTGTACTGACTCAGAAATTGTGCAGCTGGTTGTAAATCCACAGCAGCAAGCCAGTGGAGGAGAAAGCAGTAATGAAAATGAGGAAGATGTATCAGAAAGAGTGTTGATAGGTTAATTAAGTGTATTCTAACCAAACCATTCTGTAATCCGGCAAACTCGCTAATCCGGCACACTACAGGTCCCAATAATTCGGGATTAGTGATGGCCGACCTGTTCAAACGCTTTCATGTGGATGTGAGGCATGGGCTTTGAATGCTGCAGTGAGGAGGAGGCTAGAGGCAGCAGAGATGTCATGTTTGAGAGGAGTGTGTTGTGTGAATGCCATGCAAAGAATTTGGAGGGGTTGTTGAGGTTGTTTAGGCATGTAGAGAGGAAGGATAGGTTGATGTTAAAGTTGTATAAATCTGGGGTGGAAGGTAGAAGGAAAAGAGGGCATGCCAGGAACAGTTGGGGAGAGTTTTAGAGGACTGAACATCTATTAGGCTTGTGTGAGCATGTTAGATAGGGGTGAGCCAAGTCAAGTGGTTTTTAATGGGCATGTTTTGGAGTGTGAACAAGATAACTTTTATGAAGGGCTTCATGGAAACTGTCAGCACAGTTCTGGAAAGTCTGCAACTGAGTGAATGTGTTATCTTCCTTGGGTCACCCTGCCCTGGTAGGAGGTGGCTGTTGATGGTTAAGAACGAATTGGAGTGAGGGGTTTTAGTGGGTTTTATGCGTCTTGAGAAACCACTATTCTTGCATGGAGAACTTTGGACAATGTTTGGTTATTACTTGTGAGTGGAGCTAAGTGTTCTGGAGGTCATCTGACCACTGATTTTTTGGAAACTCTTCACTTTGTCTAGGGGTAAGCATTTTACCATCAAAATTTTAATGCTGGATAATATGTAAATACAACTGAACCTTATGATAATTTCTTAAATTTGATTACTGCATTTCATGAGGTATTGAAGAGTAGACATCTAGTTTGTGTCATTAACCCTTAAATGGTCCAAACGTATATATACGTTTTTTCAACATCTGAAAGTATGTAAAAAAATGTAGATCATCTTTTTTGTTTTACATTTGAAAACGTGTAAAAAAAACTTTTATCTACATTTTTTTTGTTATATTTGAAAATATGTAAAAAAAAGATCTACTTTTGTAGCACTACGAATTTGAACGTCGATTTGTTTGGACCGTTTAAGGGTTAATCAGTGAGAACAGCATTTGTTTGTGTTGAAAAGAATATATTTTAAACAAGGTACTGATAAAAAGAAATTTAACACTTTGTTAGGTGCTTGCCTATGCAGATTAACATTTTTTATTATAGCATACCTGTCCTTTAACATGAAATGTTACTTTTCAGTCTTGGTGTTGTGCTTCATGCAGGCAGTGGTGGACACGGTCACAGTCATGGAGGTCTGGGTCATAGTCACAGTCAGAGTGGACGTGGTGCTTCATATGATCAAGATGCCTCTAATAATAATATAAACATCAGGGCAGCCTTCATTCACGTATTAGGGGATTTAATACAAAGCATTGGCGTTTTAATAGCTGCTTATATTATTAGATTTTATGTAAGTACTACATTTAAATATTTTTAATAATTTTTTAATACAGAAATGCTCAGTTAGCTTTTTTTTTGTTGTGTGTGTGTGTGCACACGCATGCACATGCATTGTGTCATTAATATATTCACATACAGTATAGCAGTGGGTATCACTAGTAAACAGTATAGGAAATGTAAGAGCTCAGAAAAATTGGAAGGTAAGCACTTGAAGTTAATATTAAGGTTATAATGTACAGAAATTTTAATGAAAGAAAGGATATGATATTGTTGATTATGGATTGCTGGTTGTGTCAGTACATTGTACCACCTTTTATTTTTTTTATTTGCTTGTTTATTTTAGCTTTTGTTCACTTTTTTTTTTTTTTTTTTTTTTTTTTTTTTTTGCATATTGGCCATCTTCCATCTAGGCAGGTTGACCAAAAAAGAAACACTTTCTCCATTATTCACATGTAATCACTGTCTTTGCGAGGAACTTAGATATGACAGTTCTGATGTTACTCCAAACAGCCAGCATCCCAAATGCTTCCTTTAAACTGTCCAAATGTAGATCTATGTTGACATGCGTAGCTCTCTGAACGTAGATCTACATTTGATTTTACATGCTTTGTGAAAAAAAGTAGATCTACGTTTGGAGCAGCTACGCATGACAATGTAGATCTGCGTTTGGACAATTTAAGGGTTAAAGTGCAGGCATTGCACTTCCCACCTCCAGGACTCAAGTCTGGCTGACCGGTTTTCCTGAATCCCTTCACAAAATATTACCCTGCTCACACTCCAACAACTCGTCAGGCCCCAAAAACCTTTCATCTCCATGCACTCCGATCTAAAAGACACACACATGCCTGCTTCATGTCCAAGCCCCTTGCACACAAAACCTCTTTTACCCCTTCCCTCCATTCTTTCCTAGGATAACCCCTACCCCTCCCATCCACTACAGATTTATACACCCTCCAAGTCATCCTATTTTCCTCCATCCTCTCTAAATGACCAAACCTCCTCAACAATTTCTATCTATGCCTTCTTGATTCATCGATGCTTGTCCACCATGTGTAATGGCCCTATATTGCAAATTTTTCTGGAGATGGTAGGCTTTGTTCTGATATCCTATCCAAATAGAACATTCTCCTCAATTTAGTCATCAGTTTAAATGCACTCTTTTTTTTACTTTCTCAAGCTTCATTTTATTTTAAACTAGACAAGGGTTTCATGTTGGTGCTGCATATTCAAAAAAATAGGTTGCACATTTGAGGTAAAAGATGTTTCCGAAGTTCATTCTTATGTTTGCAAGCTTGACCTATTCTGCTGCTGTTCTGTTTGTGTGCCTTAGAATTCAGATTTAGAGTAATGGTAGCTCCCAGTTTTTTTTTTTATGTTTCATGTGCTCATTCCTTTTCCCTTCCTCTCCTCTCCAATTGGCATTCTTTCTTGATCTTTCCACATCACCTACATTCATAATTTTTTTTTTTTTTTGAGGGAGTGATAAAATTCTATTTCCTATCTATTCAACCATTCCTCTAGTCTGTCTTCATGCAACAGCCTTTTCTTGCCTTCAGTTTTTATTCTCATTATTTTAGGTATCCACAAACAAGGATATTTAGGCATTAGTTCCTATATTCAGGTCATTGATATACATCAGGAACATAATATAATTTAATAAGAATAATATAATATCTTTATTTCTACAAGTACATGTACAGGGTATACAGGCGTAGCTGACATTAATGACATACTACTATATAGAAAGTCGCTTGTTAGGCAGAGCATTTCGGGCAAATTAGGTCAGTTTTGTCCCAGGACGCGACCCACGCCAGTCAGCTAACTCCCAGGTTCTCATTTTAGTGATGGGTGAACACAGACAACTGGTGTAAGGAAACACGCACAATGTTTCTACCCTCGCTGGGAATCAAACCCAGACCCTCACTGTGTGAAGCGAGAGCTTTTGCCACCAGGCCATGGTGCACCATGGGATCTAACACTGATTTTTGAAGAATATTGACTACTTGCATGTGAGTGGCTTGCATGGTGTTCTGACTCCTTTTGATATTTAGTCATTGTCTATCTGGATGTGTAAGATACCATTTGGCATCTTATTGACTCAGGTTATTGCACTGCTTGATTGCTCTTCTATTTACAAATGATGAAGGGATAGTGGCAGATGAACTGAAGTCTACTTTCTTCTTAATGAATTTCTGCTCTCCCTATTATTTTCTTGGTGTTACCACTTGATCATTTAGTTATGCAACTGCCTGCACAAGTATAAGATTACAGAGACTTGGGGAGATAAGCAAGATGCAGACGTGGTCTATGTGGATTTTGTGAAGGCAGGGCAAATGGAATCACAGAGTGATAACACACAAATGGAATCAGCTGGTATAAGGGTAAAAGTAGGAAAGTGGATATTCAGTTTTCTGATTAGAAAAAAAAAAATGTGCTAGTAAATGGAGTGAAATTTAGCCTTAGCAATGCAAAAAGTTCAGTTCCTCAAGGCATGGTCTTTGCTGAAGACCATGTCAGCATGCTAACAGTTGGTGACGGGCACAAATGCCAAGGAGTCCATTGTGTGTTGCACACAACACGGCTTTTCTTTTTTCATTTAAGAGCTTGAATGCTCAAAAATAATCCAGTGTTTGGTGAAACATGCAAATATAATAAATATGAGGGTGGGCTGTGACATCTGTATCAATTTCATGTGTTTCTGCTTCTCTTCTCATTCAGTAGTTGTTTTTGATGTCTACTCACTTTGGTGTTCTTAGGCTTTTCAGTAGTTCTGCACTTTTTTCATGCTGTTCCCCTCCTCCCCTCCCCTTCATATTAATGGTTGAATCTTGGGTTTTTATCTGTTCCTCTTTGGGCTAGTACTGGTAGACATTGTATGTTGCCTCTTGCTTATTTGCTTGAAAATTATCTTAGTTTCCTGAGATGCACTTTTTTGGGGACCCTTTCAGGTTTTGCCTTATTTATAGAAGTGAGGCTTCCACATTGGTCTTGTGTTTAAGGTGAAATTTCTTTTGAATATGAGAGTCTGTTTTTGAATTTTGTCTTTATATTGAAGAGTATGTATGTATTGGCTTGAGGAAACTATTTGTTAATGGTTGTTCTTAAATGTAATCATACTTATTTATATTTTGGAAAGATTTTGATAGTAAGAGGAATGTGATATTTACATTACTTTTTTTTTCTCTTACAGCCCCAGTATAAAGTAGCAGATCCCATCTGCACCTTCATATTCTCTGTCCTAGTGATGATAACAACAGTGCCTATACTGAAGGATTTGGGTACTGTTTTGATGGAAGGCATGCCACCTGGGATTGACTATGCTGCAGTCTGCTCAAACCTCACAGCATTACCAGGGGTGAAAATGGTTCACTCTCTACATGTTTGGGCACTTACCCTAGATAAAAATGCATGTTCAGTACATTTAGCTATCAGTAAGTACTTCAAAAGAATATTTAATACAGTTTTTATTATAGTTTAAACTGTTAAGATATAATTGTAACATGTCCCTAAATTTATAGTGAGACATTTTGTATTATTTTTTTTAACAAGCTGGCGCTCTCTCATTGAGGCAGGGTGACCCCCCCCCCCCCCCCAAAAAAAAAAAACACCATCATTCACACTATCACTGTCTTTGCAGAGGCACACAGATACAACAGTTTAGATGTCATTCTAAACAGCAGATATTCCAAACCCCTCCTTTAAAGTGCAGGCATTGCACTTCCCACCTCCAGGACTCCAAGTCCTGCTAATTGGTTTCCCTGAATCCCTACACTAAATATTACCCTGCTCACATTCCAACAACCCTTTTATTTACAAATGATGAAGGGCCACGGCAAATAAACTGTTTTATGCTTGTAAAATATTTTCTTTGCTAACCCTTTGAGGATCAGAACCCCTGATCTGAAACTTGCTCTTGGGGTCAAAAAATTTAAAAAATATATATATATTTTTCTTAAGTGATAATTGTTTTTCAAGGGTAATGAAACCAAAAATATGAAATTTGGTGGAAAACTCATGTAATTACACTTGCAAAGTTAGTGGTCTCAGCGATATTTAACCCTTTGAGGGTCGACAGGCCCTCTCCGAGACTCGTTCTCAGGGTCGGCCAAATTTAAAAAAAAAATTCTTATGAAAAGATGGAGAATCTTTTCCCGATCATAATGACACCAAAAGTATGAAATTTGATGGAAAACTTACGGAATTATGCTCTCGCGAAGTTAGCGGTCTCGGCGATGTTTACACATCGGCGATTTTGCCCACTTTGAGCCCCATTTTCGGCCAATTCCACTGTACTAGTCGACAAAAAACATGAATACTTTGCTAGAATTCCATTTTTCCTATCGAATGAGTGCAAGAAACCACTCATTTACCAGTTTCAACTATCCAGTACAGTGGTCAGAATTTAGCAATTTTACTAATTTCACACAAATTTCAAAAGATGCCAATTTCCGAGTAGGGTCCAGAATAAACAAGAAAAACATTCCTGGCACTAAAATGACATTTCCTCTGTTCATTAGTCACGTCTCAAGGCTCCTCTTACATTCTTTTGCTTTCCACTTTGAATTTTTATTCTCACAAAAAATAGAAGATTTACTGTTATGTAGACTACTGCATTAGTGTAAAAAATGGTATAAATAATATTGGCGCACTTGCGAAAGAATATTAGACTCACCAGTTGACGTGTATTGGACGCCTGGCATGATTTGTTTACTTTTGAACTTTGGTAAAAATCAAACATTTCTGCTACTTTGAGCTCAATTTCAAGGTACTTTTCATTGTAAAACCAGTCAGAATGATCTCAATTTCTGCAATATGTCTTCCATTCTACAAAATGAGACCAGGAAAACTATAATACAACAATAAATACCATATGAAAATACAGTGCAAAGTCGCTGTTTTATTCCAAAAAAATGGTCAAAGTTTTTTTTTTTCTCATTATGCAGTGTGTGCTGCAGGTTTTTTTTTATACTGTGCACACTGACCACATAGACCCATTCTTTCATATGTATGCCTACCAGCTTTCTCCCACTAGATTTGAGGGCGCTAGAATTTAGGCGTACTAGTATGTCAAAAACCCTGGGTTGTAAGCCGAAACCCTTAAAGGGTTAAAGCATCGACGATTTCGCCCACTTTGAGTCCTATTTTTGGCCAATTCCATTGTTCTAATCAACCATACTCGTAGCTATTTAGCTAGTATTTCTTCTATTTCTTCAATTCAGTACAATAAACTGCTCATTTGTAATTTGCCCAATTTCACAAATTGCCAGTTTCAAAACAGGGTCCAGAATAAACTATGTAGACGTTCCTCAAACTAAAACATTTCCTCTGTTCGTTAGTCATGTCCTCAGGCCTTTCCTATATTATGCTTGCTTTCCATTTTGAATTTTTATTCACAAAATATAAAAAGATTTACTGTTATGCAGACTACTAAATTTCTTTTTTTTTCCAACTAGTCGGTCGTCTCCCACCGAGGCAGGGTGACCCAAAAATAAAGAAACTCCCCAAAAAGAAAATACTTTCATCATCATTCAATACTTTCACCTCACACATAATCACTGTTTTTGCAGAGGTGCCCAGAATACAACAGCTTAGAAGTCTATACGTATAAAAATACACAATATATCCCTCCAAACTGCCAATATCCCAAACCCCTCCTTTAGAGTGCAGGCATTGTACTTCCCATTTCCAGTACTCGAGTCCGGTTATATAAAATAACCGGTTTCCCTGAATCCCTTCACTAAATATTACCCTGCTCACACTCCAACAGCTCATCAGGTCCCAAATACCATTTCTCCATTCACTCTAACATGCTCACGCATGCTTGCTGGAAGTCCAAACCCCTCGCCCACAACACCACCTTTACCCCCTCCCTCCAACCTTTTCAAGGACGACCCCTACCCCGCTATCCTTCCCCTACAGATTTATACACTCTCCATGTCATTCTACTTTGATCCATTCTCTCTAAATGACCAAACCACCTCAACAAACCCTCTTCAGCCCTCTTGACTAATACTTTTATTAACTCCACACCTCCTAATTTCCACACTCCGAATTTTCTGCATAATATTTACTCCACACATTGCCCTTAGACAGGACATCTCCACTGCCTCCAAACCCCTCCTCGCTGCAGCATTTACAACCCAAGCTTCACACCCATATAAGAGTGTTGGTACTACTATACTTTCATACATTCCCTTCTTTGCCTCCATAGATAACATTTTTTGCCTCCACATATACCTCAATGCATCACTCACTTTTTTTCCTTCATCAATTCTATGATTAACCTCATCCTTCATAAACCCATCCGCTGACACGTCAACTCCCAAATATCTGAAAACATTCACTCCCTCCATACTCCATAGTTGTATAAATAATGTCAAAACATTCCTGAATGCATACTAAACCGACCAGTTGGACATGTATTGAATGAGTGACATAATTGTTGTACTCTGGAATATTGGATAAAAATTAAACATTTCCTCTGCTTTCAGCTCAAACTCAAGCTACTTTGTCTTGAAACCAGTCAAAATCATGCTTATTTCTGTAATGTATCTTCCATTCTGTCAACTGAGACAAAGAAACCGAGAATACACCCATAAGAAACTTAGGAAAATTCACCGCAAAGTTGCTATTTTAAACCAAAAGTATGGTCAGTTTTTTTCTGTTCTGCACTGTGTGAGGCAGGACTTTTTTTATATGGTGCACACTTACCGCATAGACCCTATTCTTTCATATCTAAGCCCAAATTTACCGCTCACAGCTTTTCTGAACTCAAACAGAGCTCACTACATAGTTCTATGGCACTGACCCAGAGCTCAAAGCCATAGGGGGTTAATAACATGGGAGAAATTTGGTTGCTTTCTTGACACCCTCCAAAAAAAAAGTCTGACAGATTTCTTTTAATTTCTGTTTCATCAAAAAATAATAGTTTTTGATACCTTGTATTGTAGGTGTCATTGTGTGGAGATGGTTTGGGTTACATTAAAAGTACATTAGGCAGCTGGTACATCCAACAAGCTTGTGTGAGCATGTTAGATAGGAGTGAGTAGAAGCAAGTGGTTTTTATGATTTAATGTTTTGTCAGGGTCTGAGCAGGGTAATATTTATGAAGGGATTCAGGGAAATTAATTAACCAGACTTGAGTCCCAGAGATGAGAGGTACAGTGCCTGCATACTGGAGAAAGGATAGGGATGTTGCAGTTTGGAAAGTCATACGAACTGTGATGTCAGCATGCGTCTGTCGAGACTGATTGAGTGAGTGACTGAAAATGTTTCCTCTTTGTTGGATCACCCTACCTTTGCGAGGAGATGGCCATTGTGTTAAAAAAAAAAAAATAGATAGTATAGTACAGTTGTGTGACTGTACATGTAGCTTAAAAGGTTATGCAGAACAATCTTACCTTAAATTTTGATGAAGACAGTCAAGCAAGAGTACTTATAAAGAGGCAGGCAGCATTGTATTAGCTACCAGCACAATCACTAACTTCTTCTTTCAACAAACTGGTCATATCCCACCGAAACAGGTTGGCCCAAAAGAAAAATGAAAGTTTCTCTTTTTAACTTTAGTAAAGTATACAGAAGGGGTTAGTAGCCCCTTGCTCCCAGCATTTTAGTCGCCTCTTACAACACGCATGGACAAACACTATCCTCACCTAAAACCATCAGCATTTCATGAGCTCTGATGATCTTCAAAGCTACCACTAGCAAGATCATAGCTTCACGAAGCAATTTTCTCATTTGAAATTAGCTAAAAAGTGACAAGAAAAAAATTGTAGCCTACTTTAGATTCATTGTTCCTCTTGCATGTTACTACATAAGTGTGTAGAAATGCTTGGATTCTTTCCAGTAAGTGCCTAATAAGCTGATGCACTCTCAAATATTTCATAACTTTACAATTTTCTTGTTTAATAATTTTTCAAAGTTATCAACCACTAACCTGTACAAATGTATACATACAGCTAGGGGTAATTAAATGACTGTTGAAGGTATGGTAATGTGTAACTAGTGAAATTATGGGTTACTAACCTTCATGCATAACTGAGACCATATTCACTTAATATTCCATAGAAACTGTCAAGTTCACACTTCTTGGCACCTCCAGCATCACTAGATTTTCTTTTGATGTCATGGTTAATATCCAGAGACAAGATGGGGTGATGAAAGGATTGAAAATGGACAGATAAACACTTGACTGCTTGGACAAATTTTTACACTAAGAAGGGATTAAGACTCGTCCTGAAACATTGGCCTTACCTAAGGTGCATAGGGAAATTATTTTGCCTCACAACGAAATGGGTTTTATTGCATGAATTAGAGCATTAGCCATGAAATTTAAATAGCGAGTTATTGAAAAAGCAAGTTACGGCTATGCAAATTATGAGAGTTTACTGTACTTTTAACCCCTTGACTGTCGCAACCCCCAATCCTGAGGTGTCTCCTGGTGTCGCAAAATTTAAAAAAAAAAATTATTTTTTCTTATGAAATGATAGAGAATCTTTTCCCGATTGTAATGACACCAAAAAAACGAAATTTGATGGAAAACTGACTGAATTATGCTCTCGCGAAGTTAGCGACCTCGGCAATATTTACAAATCGGTGATTTCGCCCACTTTCAGCCCTATTTTCGGCTAATTCCGTTGTTCCAGTCGACCAAACTCATAGCTATTTCTTTAGAACTCCATTTTTTCTGTCGATTGAGTACAAGAAACTGCCCATTTACCGATTTCGACTACCCAACAATGTGGTCAGAAATTTGCAATTTGGCCAATTTCACAAAAATAAAAAAATATGACAATTTCAAAATAAGGTCCAGAATGAACAATGCAGACATTCCTGGCGCTAAAATAACATTTTCTTTGTTCATCAGTCATGTCTCCAGGCCCCTCTGATATTACTCTTGCTTTCTATTTTGAATTTTTATTCAAACAAAAAATAGAAGACTTACTATTATGCAGACTACTGTAATAATTGTATAAATAACATCAACCCATTCATGACTGCATATTAGAATGGCTAGTTGGATATTTATTGGACAATGATATCATTTGTTTACTTTTGAACATTGGCAAAAAATCAAACATTTCCCCTACTTTGAGCTCCATTTCCAGGTTCTTTTTATAGTAAAATCAATCAAAATCACCACTATTTTTATAATATGTTTTCCATTCTATCAAATGAGACCAAGAAAACGAGAATACAACCATAAATACTATACGAAAATAGACCACAAAGTCGGCATTTTAATTAAAAAAACGGTCAGTTTTTTTTTTCTCATTATGCGCTGCGTGCTCCAGGATTTTTTTTTATATGGTGCACACTGACCACACAGACCCATTCTCTCACATGTGGGCCTACCAGCTTTCTCCTGCTTGATTTCAAGCTGCTAGAATTTATGAGTATACAGTGGACCCCCGCATAACGATTACCTCCGAATGCGACCAATTATGTAAGTGTATTTATGTAAGAGCGTTTGTACGTGAATGTTTGGGGGTCTGAAATGGACTAATCTACTTCACAATATTTCTTATGGGAACAAATTCGGTCAGTACTGGCACCTGAACATACTTCTGGAGTGAAAAAATATCGTTAATCGGGGGTCCACTGTATATACGTCAAACACGGTACCTCGTAAGACGTATATATATGGCCGCGACAGTCAAAGGGTTAAACTGGAATGCTAAATGAAAGTTGAATTCTATAGGTTGCTTCTGCATTTTTCTCAGGTAGTGATACCAACCCAGAAGTTGTGCTAAGAGATGCTCAAAGAGTTATAAGAACCCGTCACCACATCTTCCACACGACTATTCAAGTAGAACAATACCAGCCACAGCTCATGGACAACTGTCAGCAGTGCCAGCCCCTCTCTAGATGAAAGGTTTCGGTTGTTAGGGATATGTATGTTTCATTAAGTTATATGATTAAAAGTTATTCTTATTTGCTCTATTGTATATCAAGAGTCTACATAAATCTTTATCTATAGTCTCAATCTTTTTTTTACCGTATCAAGATAGTCTACATACTATAGTGGGTAAGTGTTGTTATGGTTGGAAGAATGTTTATTTTCCATTAGGTATTGTGACTTGCTCATGATCATAAATATTGTAAATAAGCATTTATGAAAGATTCTCTGAAATTTAAGATTCTGCATTATAAGTTAAAAAGCTTAGTTTATTTATTTCTAATTATGTTTTTAAATATTACATTCCAATCTATGCAAATATGCTAGTAAATATTTTATAAAAAAAGCAATAATATTACAAGGAATTGATTATAAGAGTTTTGTATTTTTTGTAATGTATATTCTCGGCCATATGTCATCCCCTTTTTAGAAAGAATTACTGTATAATGGAAATGATTACACTTAAGTTTTTTTAATCTTTTATTTACCACAAGAAATTGCTATAAGACATGCCCACAAAATACATCAAAGATACAAAATTTTTACTTGCCAAGAATTATAACGAATTATGAATCCTATTTGTAGCAGTGCAACAGAAGCTGAATTATACTATACTAGATCATACTCTTTTGTCTAACTGTTGTACCATTCTCTTTATTTGTCATTAATGAATAAATAATTTAAAATCTTCAAATAAAACCTGCACAAATGACAACAGTTACTGGTACTTGCACACCAAAATGAGTTTCTTGCATGTTGTACAATATAACAAGTTGTAGTAGCATGTTCATTTCATTTGTTGAATATTCTTTCATGTTTATACTTTTGTATATTTTATTTGGTAATGTTATTACTGAGAAAATATGCAGTGTATGTTATGCATTTAATTTGTGTATCATTAACTTTGCAGAATAGGATGACCAAGGTGAATAAATCAGGGATTTAAGAAAGGATGGGTATGGGTTGTCCCAGGGAATACTGGAGATTGGTTGTAAGTAGGATTAAAGTGGTAGGTGCTTGAGCATCCAGCAGGTGGGTGTGTATGTGAGAGAGCGCACAACTACTGGATGCTGTGTTATATCAGGGTGAGTGGAGACAAGTGGTTTTAGGGATTTGACATCTGTTAGAGTAAGACAATTTATGGAGGGATTCAAGGAAAGCGGTTAGCCAGAACCGAGTCTTGAAAGGTGGAAAATACAGGGCCAGTACTGTTCGCAGGATCATTTGAGTTGTGATGTCTACCCCCTTCTAGCACGACAGCTATTAAATGAATGAAGGTGTTTATTTATTTTTTTTTTTTTTTGGGGGGGGGGGGGTCATCCTATCTTGGTGAGAGAAGGTTGATGTGGTTAAAACAAAAAAAAAATGCCTTGTTTCAAGAAAATATAGAAAGTAAATTTCCTGGAGTCCTGAAGGTGAGAAGTAGTGCCTGTATGTACCTTGAATGAGGGGTTGAGATGTTGCTTGTCAGATAATCATTCAAATTTTAATGTCTGAACTTCTGATAAGAAGTGATGATTTTTTTCTGGGGAGGGGGGGGGGAGGTGAATCACCCTCCCTACCTCAGGGCGATGCCCGGTGTGTTATATTGATATTCAGAATATAAAAGCAATGTAATAAGAAATATATATACCTTTGTGTGTGTGTCAGTGAGTGAATGAATGAATTTGCATTACATTTTTAAATTATGCATGTTTGGGGAGAAGCCTCACCTTAGAATCATCCACTGTGATTTAGTAGTGTGTCACATTTACAGTCACTGCAGTACTCCTTCAGTTACTCAATATTCTCAGTTGTTTTTCACAAGAAATGTACTAACTAATGAAAACTGGATAATGTTTTGTTCCGTGTTAATGAAATTTTAATTAAAATTATGATTTTATCACGGAAAAACAAGGGTGGCAGGCAGGATGAAGATCTTGGACCCAGTATTCTCCTGTACAAATTACTTAGTTTTAGCACCTCTTGTGTCATTCATACTGTTTGCCAGTTACATTATCACAGCTCAGTTTTAACTAACATTTGCATTTCGATGATAGCTTTGAAAGAATTAAGAAAATGAAATAGACCGAGTTTTCAAATGGAAAGCTTGTTGTAAAAAGTCATTGTTTTGAACTCGAAGTGTATCCATTTACTAATGGCTGGGAATATGCTGCACTGTATTTTTTCTTTCCATTTCTAAAGGGTGTCTAGAAAATTTAGTAAAGACATGTCTTATACCGAGTTTGAGTTGATGAGAAAATTTTAGGAGCTACTGTGTAATTTAATGTTTTTATTCTCATACATTGAAACGTTTTACCAATGTGATCCCCATCTTGTGAATATTTTGTAATTTGCAAAATAAATTTTTTTTTCTTTTATATTTTTATGTAATATTGGTATTATTGTTGTCTGTAGATATCCTAACAATGCCTGAACTAAATATTTTCTAACTTGGATCTTCCACTGTGAGATTATCACCATTAAAGTGTTTAACCTGAAAGGGTCCCACACACTCACTGTGTGTGTCTTATCCCATTTCTGCTCCTGCTTCTTCCCCAATCTTCATGACTTTGCATTTATTGGGATTGAATTCAAGCAACCACTTACCTGACCATCTGCAAATTGTCTAGATTCCTTTGGAGCCTTTTCTGGTGTGTTATTTTTTATTCTTATTAGTTTTACTTCAGTAAATGGATAAATTTGAATTAACCGTTTCACTGTCGAGACCCCTGCCCACAAACTTGCTCTCAGTGCTGAAGAATTTTAAAAAAAAATTATTTTTTTCTTATGAAATGTTAGGGAATCTTTTCCCGATTGTAATGACACCAAAAGTACAAAATTTGATGGAAAACTTATGGAATTACGCTCTTGCAAAGTTGATTGTCTCGGCAATATTTACGCATCTCCAATTTAGCCCATGTTGAGCCCTATTTTTGGCCAATTCCGTTGTTTCAGTCCACCAACCTCATAGCTATTTCGCTAGACCTTCATTTGTTCTGTCGATTGAGTAAATAAATTGCCCATTTACTGATATCAACTACCCAGTAAAGTGATCAGAAATTGATAATTTGGCCAATTTCTTGCACAATTCAAGTAAGGCTAATTTCAAAATAGGGTCCAGAATTAACAATGCAAACATTCCTAGGTCTAAAATAGCATTTTCTCTGTTCATTAGTCACGTCTCCAGGCCCCTCTTATATTACGCTTGCTTTCCATTTTGAATTTTTATTCACACAAAAAATAGATTTATTGTTATGCAGGCTACTGCATTATTGTCAAAATGGTATAAATAATATCAGCACATTTGTGACAGCATATTAGACTCACCAGTTGATGTGTATTGGACCTGTGGTGTGATTGTTTACTATCGAATATTGGCAAAAATCGAACAGTTTTCTGCTACTTTGAGCTCAATTTCAAGGTACTTTTCATCCAAAAACCATTCAAAATCATCTCTATTTCTGTAATATATCCCATTCTATCAAATGAGACCAAAAAAATGAGAATACAACCATAAATACCATACAAATATACAGTGGCACCTCTAGTTTCGAACAGCTCCCAACAAATATGTAAGTGTATTTTTGTAAGTGATTTTGTAAGTGTATCTTTGGGGGTCTGAAACAGACTAATCTAATTTACATTATTCCTTATGGGAACAAATTCGTTCTGTAATGGCACTCGAATAGACTTCTGGAACGAATTATGGCAAAAACTCGAGGTACCACTGTACACCGCAAAGTCGGTGTTTTAAACCAAAAACATGATCTTTTTTTTTTCTCATGTAGTGCGTGCTGCAGGATTTTTTTTTTTATACTGCGCACACAATCCTGTTCTCTCACGTGTAGGCCTACCAGCTTTCTCCCACAAGATTTGAAGGTGCTAGAATTTTGGCGTAGTATTACGGGACTGACATTGGCTTGCAAGTCGTAATATTACAGGACCGACAGCGAAACGGTTAATTCCATCTGGAATACATGTGTGCACCTGCAAAATAAGTTTGTTTATGGCGGATCTGCATTTTCTTTTGCAAACTTAGAGCCACCGGACCTGATTCCCTCAAAATTGATACTTTTCAAATGTTGGTGTTGCATTTTAATTATGATTGCATTACTGAACTTTTGCTTTGGATTGAAGCATCTTATTCCTTTGTCATATCAGGTGACAGTCAAATATGTACTCTGGATGGAATGGGACATATTTCCTCTTCCAGATTGCATTACTTAAGAACTATTTTTTCAGTCAACTAGTATTTTTTAGCAGAATTAATATGCACTTTTACTGGCATCATCCACATAGCTACTGTCCCTGCCTCATCATTGGTTGTAGTCTCAAGAGAGACTGCATTGTAAGAGATCCTGACTATATCTCATCATCCTTCATATACAACACTGGATGTGTCTAGTACTAGACAGAAAAAAAAAAAAAAGCTTTGTTGGGGTCTTTGCCTTGCTGCAGGTTGGGGCATTGAACTTAGCTGCTGCTCCTGCTGTTCAGAACCTTTGTTTCCAGCAGGCAGTTGCCATTTAGTTGAACAATGTATGACCCCTATGGGTTTAGGGTTTCCCTGGGATATGTTGTGTATCTTTATACATATATGCTTCTAAACTGTTGTATTCTGAGCATCTCTGCAAAAACAGTGATAATGTGTGAGTGTGGTGAAAGTGTTGAATGATGATGAAAGTATTTTTCTTTTTGGGGATTTTCTTTCTGTTTTGGGTCACCCTGCCTCGGTGGGAGACGGCCGACTTGTTGAAAAAAAAAAAAATGTGCTGGGTAGTCTGTGTTAAATGTGAAGACCTAAATTTTTTTTTTTCTAGAGCCAATTTTCAGAGGCATGTTTTTGTTTTATTGGTATATTGTGTCATCTGTTAAATTTTAAATTTGGCATGTTGATGCCTTAGAATTGTGCCTTAGAATTCTTGTACTGTAAATTTAAATTTCCTAATCTATTTTTTCTTAATTATGTGGCAACTTCCAGGGCTGAATCGCCTAAAAAGGTTTTGTGCTTTTTCTGTAACGATAATAATAGTCCAAGACTACAGTACTGCATATATATATTATTATTTTTTTTTTTTTTTTTTTTTTTTTGTATCAGGCATTTAATTTTTTCTGTCCCATCAAGGCAAATTCTTTCATATTAAGAGGGCTTTTAATCCAAGGAAATGGAGTTGTCATGCCCTTCTTTATATCGAACCTGATTGACACCTCTTTCCTAGGTGCTGTTTGATCTCTACAGGTTTAGCACTTCCTCAGAATTATAATAATTTTCCTCATGTCTAACTTTATTACATCCCATACCCCGGGCACTATGAGATGCAGTTGGGTTTAACTTTCTCCATAGATACATGTGTGTGTTGCCTCGAAGCTGCAAGTGCCCGTGTAACACCAGACATCCTTTTAAAACTGAATCTCTCAAAGGGAGGTTCCTTGATGCTGGTGAGGGACTCTTGATCTAGGAAATTGGATCTGTGCTCCAATTCTTTGAATTAAGCCTCGGTGCTTTCTATCCCCCTCTCCCCACAGGCACCATATAATCCTACAGGTTTAGCATTCCCCATGATGATGATGATTGATACTGGGGAGGGGGTTCTCAATCAGAGAATTGGGTCTGATTTCCCCTTTGATCAAGCCTGATTGTCTCCTATCCACCATTTCCCCAGGTTGTGTATGATAGCTTTGAGTTTACTTCCCCCATTCGTGCAATAATAATTTTTAAAATTGAGCAATGTTGCCTGGTTGTCTTTCTTAGAAACATTTTTGTTATAGTGGTAAAAAATAATTCTAATATGCCAGACTTACAACATATAATAATTCCCCTTTTAAAGATTATCTAGATGTTGGCAAAGACTCTTGACTCAAGGAATTGGATTTACCCTTCACTTACTCAAATCAAACCAGATTGCCTTATTCCCATGGTGCTGCAAAACCTCTACTCCTCCAGGAAGGTAGGTGCCTTTATGCTACTAAGAGGCTCTTGACCCAAGGTGCTGGACTTAATCTTCCCTTCCTTGAATCGAACTGAATGCCTCCATTTCTTCAGGCACTATATGACCCTATCAGAGCTGTATGACCCTCGTGGGTTTAGCACTTGGTTATGATTATATTAATTATATGTCCCTTTAATATAAAAAAATAAGCCTACTGCTTTAACTAACCATTTTTATTTTTTTTGCTGCCCTTGCTGAATGGTGCTCCACAACCCATGAAGGCTTAGCATTTTCCATGGAATATAATAAAATTAAGCGCTAAACCCAAAAGGGTTGTCGTCTTTCAACAAACCGGCCGTATTCCACTGAGGCAGGGTGGCCCAAAAAGGAAAAATAGAAGTTTCTCTTTTTAACTTTAGTAATGTATACAGAAGAAGGGGTTACTAGCCTCTTGTTCCCGGCATTTTAGTCGCCTCTTACAACACACATGGCTTACAGAAGAAGAATTCTGTTCCACTTTCCCATAGAGATAAGGGGAAATAAACAAGGACAAGAACTAGTAAGAAAAATAGAAGAAAACCCAGAGAGATGTGTATATGCTTGTACATACATGTGTAGTGTGACCTAAGTGTAAGTAGAAGTAGCGAGATGTGCCTGAACCCATGCATGTTTATGAGACAGAAAAAGACACCAGCAATCCTACCATCATGTAAAACCATTACTGTCTTCCGTTTTACACTCACTTGGCAGGACGGTAGTACCTCCCTGGGCGGTTGCTGTCTACCAACCAACTACCTTGGGCACCCCTCAAGGAAGGTTCCCTGACGCTGGTGAGGGGCTCTTGATGTAGGGAATTGAATCTGTGCTCCGGCTCCCCGAATTGCGCTTGAATGCCTCCCATCCCCCCACATGCGCTGTATAATTCTATGGGTTTAGCGCTCCCCATGATTATAATAATACTACCTTGGGCAAAAGTGTCAATGAGATATAAATGAGACAACCTCTATGTAATATCTTGATAATGTATTAATAATTTAAAATTAGATGTACTGTGTTCCTAACTTTTTATTATTATTGGTCTAATGAAGAGTTCTTTATTCAGCATCCCTGCGCTGTATGACCCTTGTAGGTTTAGCGATCTTTTTGATTAAATATTCAGCAGCCATCAATAGGGAAGCTTTGAAACCAGTGGCAGTGCTGTATGACCCTAGTGGGTTTAGTGCTTAGTTTTGATTATAATATACATAGATGCGTGGCCGGGCTAGTGAAGTTACTGTGGGTGAAATGCCAGAGGCTCATGGTTAATGGAGTTTAAAGCCTATCAGACACACTAGGATCATTAAGACTGAATGGTAACCTGTTTACCACCAGACAAGAAGACTTAAATTCCTCATATAGAGATTACGTGAACTCTCAGCATATGTACGCTGAGAGAAATCCACTTCCCAGGATATATATCCT